AGCAAAGCAAAGAAAGAATGAAGCAACACAAGAACGAAAGCAGGGATTTTATTGAAAACAAAAGTACACTGTGTGGGAGCAGCCTGAGCAGCCGCTCAAGAGACCAGATACAGAATCTTCTTGGGTCCAAATATACCCTAGAAGTTTCCCATTGGCCACTTCATGGTCACTTCATGTAAATGAAGTGGTATCCACAATCAGTCTGATTGGTTGCAGAGAGCAGCCAACCAGAGACTGAAGTTACAAAGGTCACACTCCTGTGCAAACAATCAGAGGCTAGGGTGAAATTACAAAGTTATACTTCTATGCTAATGAAGACTGATTCTTCTGCAATGAGTCTGATTGGTTGTGGACAGCAACCATTGAGAGGCTGGAGTGAAGTAACAAAGTTGCAAAGGAAAACTCCACTGGCAATCAGTCTGATTTGTTGCAGACAGATTTCCCATGTGCAGGGTAGAAAGGTGAAAGGGAGTAGCCTCTGGTCCTTTTGTTACTTAGGCATGGAAAGTTAGGGTTTTCCTTTCAATTTAGTTCTAGGAAGTTTCCTGCCTCCAGACCCTATTCTCCTGGCTCAATTCCCATCATCGCAGAAAGTTTCCTTGTGACTTTTTACAACCTTTTCATTCTACTTCCTTCACTTAGCATGAGGGTTGTGAGGTCATCCACATTGCAACGTGGATCAAGCAGTCTTGTAAACTGTGGTATAAATATCCCATGTCTTGAATATCAATTCACCAGTTGATGGTCATTTAGCTTGTTTCCATTTTTGACTATTGAATTATGCTGCTGTGAATGTTCACCTACAAGACTTTGTGTGGACATATGTTTTAACTTTTCTTGGATTAGAGTTGCCAGATTTAGCAAGTTAAAATACAGGATGCCGAGTTAAATTTAAATGTCAGATAAACAATACTTTTTTTTAGTATAAATATGTTCCATGCAATATTTTGGACAAACTTATACTAAAAAATTTTTTGTTTTTATCTGACACACATATTTAACTGTGCATTCTGTATTTTATCTTGCAGCTCCGCTGATACCCAGAAATGATATTAGTGGGTTACATAATAGGTTTCTGTTTAACCTCTTAAGAAACTGCCAATCCGTTTTCCAAAGGGACTCTTTACATTCCAGCAATGTGTGAAATTCATCTTTTTCTCATCTTTATTGACACTTGGTTATCTTTTTAAAACTATAATCATTTGAGTGTGTGAGAAGGGGTTTCTTGTGGTTTTAATTTCATCAGGTCTTTATAAAGAATTATGTTTATTAGCTATTCATAATATCTTCTTGGGAAAATGTCAAAATTTTTGACCAATTTTTACTTTGTCACAGTCCTACATATAATTTATAGTATTTAGAACACCACTTTATAAACTGCTGTCAAATTACCATTTAAACATTAATACCTAAATAAAGAATTTAGAACATTATTTTAAATTTTAACTCTACCATCACAAATCTCTGAGCAATGAATTTGTTCATCAATTTTTAATTGGGTCATTTGTCTTTTTATTGAGTTCCAAGAGTTTTCTAAGAGGTCTTTATATATTCCAAACACAAATCTCTTATCAGATGTATGATTTGCAAATACTTTCTCCCAGGTTTTGGCTCATCTTTCATTCTCTTGTTTTTTAAAGCCCCAAATATTTTAATTTTGGAGAAGTCCAATTTATCAACTTTTTTAAAAATAAATTTTGCTTTTGCTATTAAATCCTTTGCCTAAGACCACAAAGATTTTCTCCTATTTTCTTCTATAAGCTGTATAGCTTTAGCTCTTATCCTTAGATGCATAATGAGCTGAGAGTCTAATTAACTTTCTCCTTTTCCTTCCTTTTAAAATACAGATATCCAATTGTCTCTGCACCATTTATTGAAATGACTGTCTTTTCTCCTGCTGAATTATCTTTGTGCATATCTTGGAAGTCCATTGGTCCTATGTGAGAGTTTATTTCTGGACCCTTAATTCTGTCCCATTGCTCTATAGGACCAATTATCCTTGTGTCAGTAAACACTCTTGATAATTGTAGCCTTGCAGTAAGTTTTGAAATTGGGTAATTCATCTAATTTTGTTATTGTATTTTAAAATCATTTGGGGTCTTTTAGACATTTTGTATTTCCATATAAGTTTTAGGATCGGCTTGTGAATTTAAAGAAAATCTTTCTGGAATATTGCTAGGGATTGAGTTGAATTTATAGAACAATTTGGGGAGAATTGCCATCATAACAGCATTGAATTCTCTAATCCATGAACATGGAAGTTCTCTTCATTAATTTAGATCCTTTGATTTTCCTCAGCAATATTTTTCTCGATTAAATAAATGTATTATTGTATTCTTTTTGACGCTCTTCTGAGTAGTTTACGTTAGAAGGTATTTTTCATTGCTAATATGTCAATTTTTAAAATATTGATTGTGTTTCCTACAAGCTTGCTTGCTAAGTTTATTGGGTCTCATAGCTTTTAAAAAATTTTTTTTCTGGTAGATTCTTTAGACTCTGACAGGTAATATTAGTTGTAAAGACAGCTTTTCTCTTTTCCCCAATCTAATGTCTTTATAGTCTTTTTGTAGGGAGAGGGAGCAGGGACTGGATAGAACCTCCATGACAACACTGAATAGAAATGACGAGAGGATGTTCTCTACTTGTTCCTGACTTAAGGAGAAAAATATTCTTTCACCATTAAGCATGCTGGCTGTGAATTTTTTACAGATGCCCTTCACTAGCTTGAGGAAATTGCCTTCTACTTCTAGTTTGCTGAGTTTTCATCACGAATGCAGCTATTTAGTTATTATAGTGAGTTTTATTGTTTCTTCTATTAGTATGGTATAATACATTGATATTTTTGATGTTAAATGAAGCTTACAGTCCTAGGATATGGTCCATTTGGTCCTCCTGTATAAATCTTTTTATCTGTTGCTGGATTCAATTTCCTAATACTATGTTTTAAGGATTTTTGCATCTCTCTTCACTGGCTTTAAATACTTTTAAAATATAGGTATTTAAAAGTGTAAATTTCCCTTTAAGCAGTGTATTAGTTATACACTATAAATTTTGACATTCTGTACTTTCATTTTCATTTAAAATTTTCTGACTTCCTTTGTGACTTCTTCAATACATGGATATTTTAGAAATGTGTAACTTAATTTCTAAATATTTGGGGCTTTGTAATTTTCTGTTGACTTCCGATTTAATTTAAACATGGTTGGAGAACATACTTTTACTATTTCAACCCTTTTAAATTCATTGAGACTTTTTATGAAATAGCATGTGGTTTTCCCTGGAGAATGTTCCACATGCACTGACAAAGAGAGTGCATTCTGTTGGTGGTGGGTGGTGGTAAGTGTTAGGACAAGTTGGCTGACAGCATTCTTTTATGTGACTGTGATTCTCAATTGAGTCACTCTATCAATTATTGTAAGGTGTCAAAACCTCCAAATATTAATTGTCCATTTCTCCTCTCGATTCTATGGTTTTTCTCATTATTTTGTGGTCCTGTTAGGTGCATATACATATGTTAACTGTTATATCTCTCGAATATATGACTTTTTAAAGTATCTTTTATTTCTAGTAGTATTTGTCTCAAAGCCCACTTTATTAATACAGACATTCCAGCTCTCTTACGATTACTGTTGGGATGTTTTATATTTTTCCATACTTTCAAACTATTGGTCTTTGAATCTACAGTGTGCCTCTGTGGACACCATATAGTTGATTTTTTAAAAATCCATCCTGACAATCTCTACCTTTTAACTATGTAGACCATTCACATTTAATGAAATTATGGGTATGATTAGACTATGGCTGCCATTTTGACATTTGTTCTCCAAATGTCTCATACAATTTTGCTTCTCTGTCCCTCTCTTTCTGCCTTTTGTGTTAAATATTTCTTGGTTTACCATTTTTTTAAATACATTTTTTAATTGATGCTTTAGTGGTTACTCCAGGTCTACAGTATGCATTTCAATTTATTACAATCTTAAGACTAATTAATTCCAATAAAATACAGCTTTGTCCCAATAGAGCTCCATTTCCTACCCACTCCTTTGTGCTATTAATATACTCTGCACCTGTACTGTAAACACAACAGCATGGTGTTATAATTACTACATAGTCTTATGCTGCTGAGAACTTGTATTTATTTTGGTAGGCAAATATATCCCGAAGATTCCCATTCTCTATTTAATCAAATACTAATCTTGGTACTGCTGTGAATGGACTTTGCAGGTAAAACTGAGGTTACTAAATAGAGTAATTATCCTGGATTACCCAGATGAGCCCAGAGTAATCACCTGACCCATTAAAAGCAAAAGAGGGAAGCAGAAGAATCAGAGATGCAGTGGAAGACAGTGGAGAGATGAGGCAGAAGGGGAGATCAGAGGGAAGTGCAAGGAGGATTCAACCCATTGTTGCTGGTTTTGATGATGGAGGCGGGAACCACGAGCCAAGGAATATGAGTGGCTTCTAGAAACTGACAACAACCCCTGGCCAACCTCAGTCTTAAACCATATGGAGTTGAATTCTGCCAACAACCTCAATGAGCTTGGAAGCCTATTCATCTCGAGCCTCCAGAAAAGAATGCAGCCCAGCCAATGCCTTCATTTTGACCTTTTACAATATGGAGCAGAGAACCAACTGAGCTATGTTATGCCCAGACTTCTGATTTATGAAACTCTGAGCTAATAAACGGGTGTTGCTTTAAGCCAGTACATTGTAGTAATTTGTTATGGCAGCAATACAATCACAGTCTTTTCTATTTACACACAAATCCACCATTTGTGGTGCTCTTTATTTCATCCAGTGGATTCAGGTTACCATCTGGTGTCATTTATTTTCTGTCTGAAGGATTTAGTATTTCTTGTAAGGCAGATGTCCACAGGCAACAAATTCTTAGTATTTGTCTGGGAATGTCTTAAATTTCACTTTTTTTCCAACTGTCAACAAAAGCTCCATATCCTGGTGATGTCTTTATTATAAAGAAAAAAAAATCCTTAAATCCAGCCTTCAAATTAAAGTAACTATCTCTAATGTGAGAGCAATCCTATTCCCAAAGCCCCTCCCCAGAGTCAGTCAAGGGATTGGGGACCACATCTCTATCATGATTTTCCAGTTCTCTTTATCAGCCAAGTTTTCACCCCCAGGACACTAACAAACGTGCTGAGCCAAAGGCAACAGAGTTCACCTGTAGTCAGGTCCACCATGCCGCACTTTGGAAGACCCACACCCCTCAGCATGTAGAGAAAAGCCCCCAGGCACAGAGTCACACCTGCAGACAGGTGAGTACTCCTCAAACATGCTATAATATTGTAACTTGCACTAGACAGGGTTAGAAAAGAGACTCTGGTAACTCAAAGGTTCTACTTGCTATCTACAGCAACGACATACAGCATGGCTCATTCCAGCATACACACGTTATTTTAAAATATGCCACTGGCACTTGGGAAAAATGTAATTTATTTGCACTGCTTCCATTCTTCTACTGCAGTGTTAGGACTTAACATAAGCATCACTCTTCTATTTCCTATTTACATTCATTTGGAATATTACTACAAATACAATATACAACTTAAAAAACTTATGGGGAAACACAGCTTATGTTTTTTTTTCTCTTTACACGCTTCTCAGTTTCAACTTAAATGGAAATTTGTATGGACATTTTCTGTACATATCTTAAAGGGCAGAGATTACACTGATAAAGCCAAAAGTATTCTGCACAAATACAATACAGAAAACAAAGTACAGATGATGTTATCTGGGGTACAAACACAAACAATACAGTACCATTAGAGTAAATGAGCAACATAACACCCATACTTCATAGAAATAAAACGGCAAACCTGGAGAATGCTCTGACAAATACTAAACATTATATACACAATGAGGTAAATGTACCTTGGTCTCTTGAGAGGTAATTTAAGTTTAAAGCAATTGATATTTTGAAGCATCTCCTTGACATATACAGAAATATCAAACACCCCATTCCGTTGGCACAACGTGAAAGAGGGATATCAAAACACGGTTCATGATATTCAATTCACAAATCTTGTTAAAAAATAAAAACAAATTCACTGAAGTTCCTTTTAAGTTGTAAGAAACAGGTTGAATGTTATTAACTGTATTTTTAAAAGTTTACATTTACAAACAAGATTGCATAATGGGATTGAAAAGTTTAATGTACTGACAATCCTCACAATATCCTAGAAGTCCAGCATTCTTAGGGAGAGGGCCCATTGGTATTCCAGTAATCCAAAACAGAGACAAGAAGGTGCAGTACATGTCCAGAGATAATCCTTAGTATCTCAAAATATCTGAGTTGGCATTTTCTGCCTAACTGTAACAGAACCATTATTTGGAATCACCACGATTTGGAGCCAGAACACTGCCATGGTTAAGAAACAAAAGAAACAGTTGACTTATGATTCTTCCAGTGCAAGAATAAAAATAAGCTTTTGATGATGTGACTAATGGCATACTGATTTTGTCGTGCAATTATCTCTTTGTCATCTTGTTTTATGAAACAGCCTCTATCTGACAGTTCTCAGACATACAGAAAAGAGGTAACCCATGGATGGACTACAAAATCGTGAAGTGACCACTTAGATTTTGTAATAAGAACTGAAATCTGGGATTCTTGATGGCCATGGCACTGTACACCAACTCAAGGCACTTCTTGAGCACTATCATTATTACAGCAGAATTACAGGCTCAGCTCTTCGGACCTTACCCTGTCTTATGGGGGATACAACTGGCCACTGTTTCTGGCACAACTCCCACTGCCACAGCAGCCACCTTGCTGCTATCCCATTCCTCATCCATGGCTAACATCAAAGGAGGGCAACCAGCAGGGGCATCCCAAGCCTCATCTGCTCAATCTCCAAATGTGGAGACCCCTCCCTGCCACTTCTAATGACGAAAAAAAAGAGGAAATATGTCCCACAACTTTCATCAGCCATTGTACTCTAGATCTCCAAAGCAGCTCTTCAGTCAAAAGGCTGTGGGGGAGGCAACGGTCTCTGTGTCAGGGACCAGCAAGGAGGAAAGCAGGTTGCAAGAAACAGCTGGAGCCAGAAAGGATGGAGCAGGGATGTCTATGCCCACTAAGTCGTATTTCCCCCATCCCCACTACTCCTGGCTATTGGCAAAATGAATATAGACACACAATTTACTGAGGGTGTTTTAGCCAAGTTGAACCCTGGAAGGAGAGCATCCTAGGATGGGCAGTATAAACAACTGTGTTTTTAAATGACAAAATTAATTACTCTAATCAAATTTATCTGCAGTTATTGACAGTAATCATGATCCATCCCATCTTTTAAGTTACTTTCATTTTCAATATTAGTCAATTGTGGTTTATCAAACCATCCCTAGCCAAAAAAGGAATTAACTGCAGTAATATGTAAAGTCAATTCAGAACTAAACTCCAACTTTAAAAAAATTCCCTGATTCATTGAAAGTACATTTTATCCACTTGGGTAACAAAAGTATAACTGTAACTCAATCTTTGATTCAATAAAAAATATCTTCGGCAAAAGTGGATTACCTTACATGAAAGTGAGAAATCATGTATTACAACTTTAAATCAGACAAATTTTGGTATGTTCTTAAAATTATATAAAAATAGTTTTAGTGATAAAATGCATTGGTCCCCTGGATTTCATAAAGCAGATCTGGTAGGCTTAGAAATGGCCCAAAAAACCCAAAAAAAAAGTACCTGATCACAAAATTAGAGATTATTAAACAAGTAATATAACACAACTATAAAAACAAACCTCTCAAACTCATTCATTTGCTTCAATGAAATTATGGTAACTACAGAAAAAATCAACTTTTTGTAGTCAAAATAATAATCTCTAAGCACGTTTTCCCCATGATGTTTTTAAACACATAAAATTGACACTAAATTCCTATGTAGTATGTCACTCATTCTAAAATTACTTTGGTTTTAAGACCAAATAGTCTTTCAAATTTATTCTACGTATAAGAGATAAGACATTATCAGAATGCAACTCATTCAGTGTAAATGGCCACTTTCTCTTCCTGACTAAAATACTGTATTGGTTATTCGGACCCTGTATTGGGGAACTGACAGCACTATAAAGTCAAAGTCTTGGCTCACAGCTAGGATAGTTTTTCCTCCCCTTGGAACAAGATCACAGTGATAAAAGGACTTTGAAAACTGCAAAAGCCCTGCAGAGACTTTATAGCATTGGAAGTAAAAACCAGTTATTACAAGCTAGTTTCAACTTAATGTGAGAAGACCATGACAAGTTTTCTTTCAATATTTAACTTGACAAAAACATCTGTATAAATGGAGAAGACCCTATACTCAGAATGTTCTTTAGCTACCACCTCTTCCAGATATCAAGGGTGCACTGAATGCATTACATAAATTACATGTAAAGTAAGCAGTTGCAGTGTACGCACACATAAGGAAACACTGAATTAAAAGCTGCCTTCCTCAAAGTGTAGTGAGACCTCAAAATCACACTAGCTCTAACCTCAGTTACAAAGACAGAGGATCCACCAAACATTCCTACATAACCAATGTGACTTTTGCACATCAGTTATCTATTCAAATTACTAACTACTTTTGCCTTCCTGGAAAAAGGCCTATTATTTAACATTAACCATATTCTAATTTTAAATGTAATTCCTTTTTTAAAAAAATAACACTGTCTTTGAACACAGAAAGAAAAAAAATGGCTTACAGAATACCACATAACTTTTCACAAACAGCTAGACAAACTTTCCCTTTTAGAAAAATTAGTCTGTATGATACAAATATTAAAGTACTATAAGCATCTAGAGTGCCACTTGTTATTTTAAAATTATACGTAGACAACACAATTAAAATGCAAAAGCTTGATGTGAGAATATTCAAACATGATCATGCTAACAATTTACTAATTAATGCCACTTCATTTATTTAGTGGCTTAAGCACATTTTGGTAGGAGAAAGGCATTTTCAAAATAGAATACCAAATGACATACCACAAAAACCTTTCCAAAAAAACAAAATAGAAAAAGTTTGGGTTACCCACATAAATAAGCTTTTTGAATTCAAACACTATAGGTTTTAACATAGAGACTTTCAGCAATCCTACTCATTTCCATTAGAAAGACACAGAAGTGGCACTTACTGGTATAGTACAATCCCATTTTGAAGGCATGTAATGTTCTGAATAAGTGAAAGAACAATAATAGTATACAAAATACAATTGCATAAATTATGTTCCTCACTACTATATGAGGTCATTTTTAGACTCAAGATAAGAGTTTTATAAGTGTTAGTTTTAAGATCCTGAAAAACTATAGGACAGTACATTCAAAGTCTGAATCAAGGAAACTCTAGTGGTTCAGAATCCTCTGAGAATGTACTAACCAGGAGTAAATCACTTTCTTTAATAATAAGAAATGTTTTATTATAACTCAGTAATCCAACTCCTTTGCCCTTAAAGATGATCTTCAGCACAGCAGAGTTACCTAAAGTTAAGACCAGCAATCATCTTTTTAAAAAACAAGTTTTGTTAATAAAAAATAAAGGTAGACTACACAACATTTTGTAACTGTCCTGGCAAAGAGCGTTCATAGTGCACAGAAAGGACCCACATGGCTGTTTCCTGGGTCCAAAGAAATCCTGGGAAGTTTTTAATTGACTTTATGACACTGCTGCAAAAGGAAGCAACATCCTTCTGTTCCCTCTCAGTGAGGTAGAACAATTGACCTCCCATATTAAAACCCAGGAGCAGATCTGAAGAAAAAAGTCGAGTTCAGGCAAAGCTGCAGAATTACATTTTGATGCCTTCCTGTTGACTGAGTTGCGATAATGTTTTCTTAATCCTCAACGCAGTAAGCCTAGCTGCTCCATTGGCATACCAACATTCTCTCATAATTTTAGCCATTACTCTCAAGGCCTACAAGAAAATACAAGAAAAATAATTAATGCACTTGCCATTTTCCACTTGTTTGGATAAGAATCTTTACCTATAAATTTTTTTTTTAAATGACAGATATACATTTGTTGTTGTTGTTGTTGCTGTTGTTGTTGTGGAAGCATTATTTGTAATAGCAAATGAGTAGAAATTACATAAATTTCCATCAATAGAATACTGGTGTCAGTGCTGGAAAGCAGGTGGTCAAAGACTGACTCACTTAGCAAACCTGAAAAGGCCAAATCCTAAACCAGAGCTGGGCAAAGCAAAGAAGAAACCTGACCTCACATTAAAATTTTAAGTTTGTACTTTGAAGCATCCAGATCACATTTTTCTTTTGAGACAGGGTCTCACTCTGTCACCCAGAGTGGAATGTAATGGCATGCTCTCAGCTCACTGCAGCCTTGACCTCCCAGGCTCAAGCAATCCTCCCACCTCAGCCTCCCGAGTAGATAAAATTTCTGAAAGACAAAATCTAGCAGCACTCTTATGTCACATGCAAATCCTCTGAGCATGCTGAAATACATTTTATCTGGGCCTGGAGATGTGACTTTGTTGGAGGTAGCAAGCTCTCTTGGTTATCAGAGGATCTGCTGAGTCCTACAATAGTTTAAGATGTAAAATCAACTACTGAACTGAACAGCTTTTTATAGCTTTTAAGCTACAAAACTTCAAACCTGGAGGAATATTCCCTGCTTTACCAATATTATAATAGTAACAGCTAGCAATTAAGGAGAGGTTAAAGAAAATTTGTCTTAGGAATCCTTAAATCTGCAATTACAAAAACATTTCTAAAACTTTTTGTTAGAGCTGTTGAGAAGCTCAGACACTGTTGAAAAAAAGCATTTTCCACAAATTCCTGGTTAATGGTCATCTAGGCAATCAGATGAATGAAATGGAAAATCATTTGAAACACCTTTGTAATCACCTTATCTGAGTTCCTCACCTTACAAAGGGATATTAAGGTCCAGAGAACTGAAGTGATTTGTTCAAGTCAGATCCTTAAAATGGTAGCCAGGCTGGTCTAGAATACCTGTCTCCTTATTCCTGTCCAGTAACTGTCCACCATTCTGGGTTGTCCTGGCTGAAGGGAGGCATTCATTTAAAAAGTATGTGCCTTAAGTTTGCCTGGCAGATCTGAACTATGTTGTGATATGTAAAGGCCACTGCAAATGTTCCATAGCCCTTTCACTGTGCTTACAATTGAATATGAAAACCAAATTATTCTGTTTTTACACATTGGTTTGACTGCTATGAAAAAGAAAATTCTTGTCTGTTTTCCTTAAAGAACAGTAGCAAATTTTCACTTACTCAGCAGAAGCAGTTTAGAAAATTGCCTAATATCAAAAAGAAATACTCACTTCACAGCTCTGCCATCTGTTTGGGATATTTGGCCTTAACTTCTGTTCACAAACGACTTTTCTCATTTCTTCAACTGATGGGTCAGAAGGTACAAGATCATAATAAGGCAGCTGGTAATCTTCATGAATACCTGTATTAGTTTAAAAGAAAATTAAATTTTGAAGAATTTATTCAGCTAATGCCAAACCATTAAAAAGATCACCCGAGAGCCCTAGTACAGTGTCTCATTACTAAAGTAGGTAGGTGGAACTGAGATGAATAGCTTTCTCTATCTCATCCACATCTGTATTCACAGGCCACTTCCCTGAGTTGATATTGAGCCCACACCTTGAAACTAAGTATTGCCAAGAGATCAATAAAGCCTATTTGAAATGACAGTAAACTATGAGCTGTGATGACCAGACTGGCATTTTCCCCTAGAGCCCTACTGTGCAGCAACTGAGATTCTATTCTGTGAGTGAACAGGCTCTCACTTCTGTGAGACATGAATCCTATGAGGCAAGTTTAAGGTTTCTCCACTTGCTTTCTGTACTTGCATCTGTCAATAATATGTCCTATTTACTACAATACAGAGAAATACTCTGTCCCTCACTGCCTCAAAAACAGAAGGCACTAGGTCTCAGCCAAGCCTAGGTCCCCAAGCCTAAGAGACTGTTTCCTGGGCATTAAAAAGTGCTCCATCTAAAAAGCTAGAAGTTAAAACAAACTCTAGAAAACACCACAATGGTAACATAATTGTATTCTGTGTATGTAATCTACAACTATCAAGTTGGAGAAAACAGCCGCAATCTCAAAGAAAAAAAATAAGTTTGTCACCCAGGTACATGCTAGAAACAGCTTCCTAGGTGAGCCTCTCAAGCAGCTGTCCTTTCTAAAGAACTATATTCCAATATAACAAGGGGTTGGGTTCTGATGAGTCTCAAGATTCAAATGGAAACAGTAAGAGAATACACTAGGCTAGAGCTGTGCATGTGTACACCATGGCACTGTCCCCTCCCAAAGATTTCATCGCCTTTGTTTTCTCTGGCACTTGGTGACCTCCTGTTTCAGATGATGGACTGTACATAATTTCATTCAACAAAAAAAGAAGACAATTCTTGAACAACTTCTGTTCATGACAAACTGTTGGGGGAAAGGGGAACAATTTACCACCAATGGAACATCGTCGAGCAATTTCCCAGAATACTAAGCCCATTGCATAGATGTCAGCACGTTTGAAGGATTCAAAATGTTTCATATTTATGGAATCATCGAGAACTTCAGGGGCCATGTACCTAAAAGAAAATTTGCAAAAAGAACTTTGAAAGTCATGCCCTTACTGCCACATTGTGATGAACATCCACTCAGACATTTCTCTATACATAGACAGCTGCACACAATATTACATAGCAAACATCAGACTCAAGAAAAATATTAAATGCACACACTGGTTTGCACATTAATGATGTCAACTGAATCCCACAAAATGCTGAAACAGCAGTTTCAAGCTACCTGCCTCATGATCTTGGTTTCCAATGAAAGACACACATACAACCATTGTAACCATTTAAGATGTCCTAATGTACACCACCTATACATGTACTAGGCAGAAACCATGCATTTGAATCTAGAAGTCTTCTCACTGAGGATAAAAGGAAGGGCAGGAATATACTCCAGGGAAAAAGAAAATAGATACAAAAGAATGCCAGTTCTCCTACTGATGCTACACTAGGGGGTTCTGAAGCTTCAAAAAACTACTAAAATTATGGGTCAGGACCCACAGAGACCAGCAGCAACCACTGCCAAGCACCCCTTAGCCGGTTGAGAGTTCAGAATCCCCAGTGAATCCAGAAATCTCAAAATCATACATGCAATTTGAATAGACTAATGCTGCCAGCTCTCCGGCTCTCTCCAAGGCCAAGGCAGTAGGTTTGAAAAAATGCTGTGACAACATGTGAAAAGGGCTTTGTGTCAGAAATGCCCAGGTTCAAATCTCAGCTCTCTGGCTTATCATCCACATGAAGCTGGGCAAATTCTTTAACCTCCACAAGGTGGTTCCCTCATCTGTGAATTAAGGGTAACAACACCTGCCTAATTAAGTTCTTTTGAAGACTCATGGACTCAACACATATCTACTGAGGATCTACCATGTATCAGGCATTGTGAAGGATGCTGAGAATACAAGTCTGCTCTCATGCAGCTTGCACCTAATAGAATATGCAGGCAAATAAACAAACAGTTACAACATAATGCATAAGTGCCTCAATGGTCCCAGTTCAGTGTGCTATGGCAGCCCTTGGAGGGACTCCTAAGAGTCTTGAGGACCAGAAAAAACTTCCTACAGGAAAGGTGGGTATGTGGCTGAGAAACAGTAGGGTAATGTATGCTCCAGGGGACGGCATGTGCAAAAGTTCTAAGAAAGAAAGAAAGACATATTTTCAGGGACTGAAATATTAAAACAGCAGGGCTAGCTACAGCACAGTATTTGAGAAGGGTGTTAAATCAGACAATATAAGTAAAAGACCTATTAGCTAGATGATTGGCACATAATAGGTGCCCTATAAATGTGAGTTACTACTGTTATTATAATTAACATGACTAATATTTTCTGGAAGGGCAACCTTCCATCAGCAGGCATCTTTTTAAGTCAGGTAACTTTGGCTTCAGAGAAGGCAAGACCATGAGATCTTCTTGCCTGTTGGCAATCTAATAAAGTACAAGCTTAAGCTGAGTTCAGTGATGATACGTACACATAAAAGAGAAGGTGAAAAAGGTGATTTCAGAAGATATTAAATACATTTGTTCAAAAGTATACCTTTTTGTTCCCACTCTGTGGTTTGGAGCAATATCAATTGTATCTGTAGCTGAATCATGTCTTACTGCCAGTCCTAAGTCTGCAATACAGCAAGTTCCATTCTTCTTTACCAAGATATTCTTTGATTTCAAGTCTCTGTGAGCAATGGCTGGCTTTCCTAAAGAATCAAAAATTAAACATGACTGCTTAAAAGGTAACACCAATCACAACTCATACCTTTAGGTTCAAAAGTCTCTTCTCCTAACCCAAATGTATCAAATCATTTCAGCCCACATGACCAACAATACCTAAGCCATTACTAAATAAACTCAAGTGAATCATTACACCAAAAGTCATTGAAATTATATTTCTTTAAAGAAAATGGGACAATAAAAATAGATTAATGACTCCAAGACTGGGGGCAAAAAATCTTATCAGTTTATCTGTTGGTGCCTTATGAATTCTTTATAAGAAACTTAGCCATAGACTGATATTCCAGCAGCCCAGGAACCATGCATGTAGATTATGACTTCCCTATCAATTGAAATGTACTCAGTATTAGGTGTATTATCTTTGATACTAACCACTAGAATATGTGTTATTAAAAACACCTGTAATCCTAGCACTTTGGGAGGCCGAGGTGGGAGGATCACTTGAGGTTAGGAGTTCGAGACCAGCCTGGCTAACATGGTGAAACCTCGTCTCTACTAAAAATACAAAAATTAGCTGGGCATGGTGGCAATGTGCCTGTAATGCCAGCTACTTGGGAGGCTGAAGCAGAAAAATCGCTTGAACCTGCAAGGTGGAGATTGCTGTGATGTGAGATTGTACCACTGCACTCCAGCGTGACAGAGGGAGACTCCGTCTCAAAAGAAAAAAAAATTATAATGTGGAAAACTTGAACCTTTACACACTGCTGGCAGGAATGTAAAATGGTTCACATACTTTAAGAAAATAGTATAGCAGTTCTTCAAACCATTAAATAGTGTTATCATATGCTACAGGAATTCAACTCCTAGGTATATACCTAAGATAACCCAAAACATGTACCGACATAAAACTTATACACAAATGTTCATTACAGCATTAGCTACAATAGCCAAAAGAAGAAACAAACCAAATGCCCATCAGCTAATGGATATACAACATGTGGTATATCCATACGCTGAAGTATTACTCAGTCATCAAAATGACTGAAGCACTCATACATGCTACAATGTAAGTGAACCTTGAAAACATGCTAAGTGAAAGAAGCCAGTTATGAAAGACAACATATTGTATGATTCGTTATATAAAATGTGCAGAATAAGCAAATCTATAGACAGAAAGCAGCAGCTGTTGCTTAGGACTAGGAGTTTGGGGGGAAAGGTGAGTGACTGCTAGTGCCTACAGGGTTTCTCTTTGGAGTGATAAAGATATTCTAAAATTGACTGTAGTGTTTGTTGGTTGTGCAACTCTTGAGTATTCTAAAAACCACTGAATTTGAAGTGGGTTTGAACGGTATGATGTGAATTATAACTCAATAAAACTGCTATAATCAATAATAACAATAATTACAAAGATGGAGCTGGTTAAGGTGTGAACTGGCACTTATACTGTATGTAAAGTGGGGAATGGGGGAGCCACTGGGTTGCAAGTGGAAAACTGCTAGAGCAGAGAGCTATACTGGCATCTGAAATCCTACATGGCACAAAAACCATAGCATAAAATTACATAACTAAAACTTAGTATTTAATTTTTCAACTCTAAAACTATCTCATGCAGTCTCCTTATCTCAAGGTCAAATATAATTATTAGATGGCCAGATAACATTTATATAACATGCTGAAGTTTTCAAAGCACTTTCTCATTTAATACTACACATAAAAATATATTCACTTAGACTCGAATTCTGAAACTAAAATCCTCAAAAATCAAAGATTGAATGCTACTTTTAAGAATTAAAAATAAAAAATCAGTTTTGTTACAATGACTAGAGAATCTCTAAACAAATTTCCAGATTCCTAGCTCTACTTGAAACTTTGAACTGAAAGATAAAATGTTCTCATCTAAAAATTTTGTTTGAAATATCTCCAGTTAGGCTACTTACTATTTTCCTTCTTTCTTTCTTTCTCTTTTTTTTCCTGAGACAGGATCTCACTCTATTACCCAGGTTGGAGTGTAGTGGCATGATGTCTGCTCATTGCACCTCGACCTCCCAGGCTCAGGTAATCTTCTTACCTCAGTCTCCTGAGTAGCTGGGACTATAGGTGTATGCCACCATGCCCAAATAATTTTTTGTATTTTGGTAGAGATGGGGTTTTGCCATGTTGCCCAGGCTGGCCTTGAACTCCTGCGCTCAAGCGATCTGCCCACCTCAGCCTCCCAAAGTGTTGGGATTATAGGAGTGAGCCACCAGGCCTGGCCTCTACCTTCTATTTTCATAGACATTATTCATGGAAATTTAAAGCTTAAATAATAAAATTGCTAATAGAGTTACCTTGGGTACCAACAATCTCCATGTGAAGATGGGCAAGACCGCTCGCTGTGGACAGAGCAAGTTTTATCATTCCTTCCACAGTAACTGTGTATCTGTTTAAGTAATCAAAAAGGGATCCATGCTCATGATAATCTGACACCAACCAGAGCTGAGTCCAAGTACCATTGTCTGTAAACAGAATTAATAGCATTTTGGTTGGGCTGTGGACCATTTATGACTTATTTGTTCAAAGGTTATCACTTTTTACTCTCAATCCTGAGTCACATACTGCAGTATAATGCCACTTAAGTCTGTATTTCCTTCTACATTCAGTTTATCTTATATTTTATATACACATCCTTTAGTTCCTCAGAGTAAGTCCCTCTTCTTGAGATAAGGCGAGGATAATTAATCCCATTTAAGAGACAAAGATGGTAACTTTCTTGAGTCGTCACAGATAATTAGTATCAGAGCTGGCACCCTTAAGTGCCTAGAAAAATCCCTGGGTCGGGTTGGGTGCTCAGTGGTTGCTCCTGGAAGGAAAAAACGCTAAAAACAGGAAGGGAACAGAGAAGAAAGGAAGGAGGTAAGAAGTCTCTGGAGCCCAGTGGGGCCACAGGGGGAATGGAAGAGTATGGGACAAAATTGAAAGCGAGTTTCGATGAGAAATGACAAGCTTTAGCGACAGATTGTATACACAGTTCACAAAGACGCAAGATAAGATGATTGATTCCAAGGTTGCTAGCTTAGAAAAACAGAAATAGTGATACCTCTAACACATAGGGAAGCTGAAATAGGAACTGAAATGTCAGGAGAAAAAGCTGGAAAAGCTGGGACTAAACTCAAACAACTAAGAATGTGGGTTCCAAAATTTCCTCTGTAAGCCAACACATGATTTTAAAACATGTTTTCTCATAGGAATAATGGTAAGGCTAGGCTCCTAGGCTAGACTGGTCCACAAAAGTCTAATTTAACCTGGAAGTAGCTAGAAAACCACATATTTAATTAAGCTATGAAGTAAGAAAGCATTACAACATTAGGAGACAGCACAATCCAGTAAAAGATGCATGCTTAGAGTCATTCTGACCTGGATTGGAATCCATGGCCTGCCTGTTATTGATGCTTTCTTAGCCAACCAGCCTCTGTTTCTCCTTTTATACAACAAGAATAACATCTTATTTTGTAAGACTGTTAAGATTTAAAAAACAAAATACTAGATTCTTTAGGCAAGAAGTACATAATTTAAACTGTGCTCTTTCTTTCCCTGCTGGTTGTAAAACAAAAGAAAAAATCCATATTGACATGAAACAGCTTCTATTTTGAAGATATTTACTTGAAGAAGAAAAGCAACTCCAATTAGAAGAGACTAAGAAAGGAACGGGAACTTTTCAGAAGATTTTGGAAGAGATTTCTGGGTACATTTTAAAGGATGTAGTATTTACTTGTCCTTCATGAACTTTATAAACTGATTCTGTCCAAACTCGCACCCTTGCTTTAGGTACATCACTAGCTTAGTTGCATGCCTCTTATCTATTACTGAATTTTGAAAAGTTCACCAATACAAGAAATAAAGAGGAAGACAGGCAGATGGAAGAAAGGGAGACTGCAGAGGTTACTGACAAGAAAGGCAGAAGGAAGGTTATATATAAGGGGTCATACATATAAAGGGCTGCTGGGGGTGGAATTAACTAAATCAGGAGAAGATAAAGAAGTGGGAAGGAGGAGCTAGGCTCAGAGAAAATACATTAAGCCCTGAAAAGGAGAAAGAAAGGGAGTAGGGAAGAGCCAGTAGGGTCAGCTAGTTCCCATGGTGACCACCAGATGACAGCATCAGCTTGGTTAGCAGTTCAGGGCACAGACTCACCAACATTTTGTGCTGCTGTGTTTGTAACTTGGAATGTGACAAAAACCAGACACGGGGTGAGGTTTAAGCTTTAAAATGCAGATTTAAGAGTTGCCAACACGGTAGAGTTTGCAACCATGAGTGTGGGTACATTCTTGAAGAAGAAATTACCATTTGTAGAATCAGTACCTTCATATGAACCGGTGAGAAGAGTAAGAGTTGAGAAAACAAAGACAACTATAAAGAAATAAGAAGGAACAAAGAAAGTCTAGGGTCACTGAACATAGTAAATAAAGAAAAGGTTGTTTTAAGACTTGGGGGAGGAAATAAATGGTGTCAGAGGCAGAAACGAAAATGAGAACTAAGGATTTGGTCAGGCTGATTACTACTTGTGTTTTATTTTTAACTTAAGTAATATTTCATTGTCGTGTGCCATTGATACTCACTACCTACATCAATCATATACATCACTGCCCCATCCTAATCAAATACTATATACTTCCACATATGATGCAATAAGATATATATAATATCCTTCTTTACTGTGTATTTTGAGAAAACCAGTAAAACTCCAATTAGGTTTAGCTTGTAAATCTAACTACTAGTTTTTAGAAAACACAGAGGAACAAGTTAAGAGACACTATGGAAATTCGATTAGCAAAATCCAGAATGTGATAGGCCCTACAGGACAAACAATCCAATTTCTTCAACAAATAAACTGCAAGAGAAGAAAAAAGATGAAGGGGGACCTAAAGATTTTAAAAGACATAAGAGAAATATCAAACAAATGCAACGTGTGGACTTAGGATCATAATCTGAATAAATAACTTTTTAAAATAAGAGACAATTACAGAATTTGAACCTAAATGGATATTTGATAACATTAAAAAAATTAACAATGGTAGTGTGGTTGTTTCATAAAAACATTTCCTCATCATTTGAAGATACAAATTACATTTACAAGTGTTTATGGATGAAAAGATGTTATCTGGGACCAGCTTCAAATAATGCAGTTAGGGCAGAGTAGGCTGGACTAGATCAATTATGATGGCAGTGATCTGACCACTGTTGACGCTGGATGATGAGGGATCAGTGTAACTACTCTGCTTTTCCACATACCGGAAATTTTCTACAAATAAGTTTAAAAAAAAAAAAAAAGCAGTACATGCTTGTAAATAAATCTGAAAACCCAGAGAAACTAAAATAAAAATCACCCATAATTACAAGTGAGATTAAAAATTGTTAACATTTGAATAAATATTGCTAAGAAAATGGAAGGTGAGAGAAGGAAAACGATGACTACAGGTCCAGCCAAGCTAAGCAATAATGACAGCATTTTTTTTTTAAATAGAAAAGCTGGGAAATACATTTGACTCAGGGGTAGGGACAAGTGTGGAGCTGAAATACAAGTCTCTGACAGAGGCAATGAAAGTAGGAATTGTGGGCATAAAGGTATTAACAAAAGTTAAGAAAGCGGCAGCAGCAGCAATCTGAGATCACTGCTTGCAGTCCCCACTCATTTTGACTCCCTACCAACAGGGTTCCTTCCTTCTTCAGCATCTGACCTGACGCTGGGCCTCAGGCACTGGCACGATAGAGAAAGCAGGCGTCCATATGGTTACCTATGGCAGGGTGGTTGAAGAAACCTTTTCTCTCTTTGAGTTTACCAAAAGATTCATCTATTTAGCCCTTGGCAACTCAGAACACTGACAAGTTATTTTTACTCTCCCCATAAATAAGGTCAATAGTCTATATTGAAACATCCTATTGGTCAGGAAGAGATTAAAAGGAAATGGCTATCTGAGCCCTATTCTCAAATTTTGAGCAAGTTTATACATTTTTTTCTATACCATGACTGTTCTCAATAACTAACTGCCCTAAACTAAACCTACCAAAGTACATATCTTTTTTAAATAGCTCTTTCACATTTTATAAAACAATAAGGGATTTTATGAATATGTTATCAAGAGTCAAGAAAATTTTTAAGAAGTTCCTAGTTCTATTACTAAAGTTACTAATATATTATATTTGACTTAATGGGTCTAATCTACATGACAGACATTGATTTCTCATCTACTCTGATGATGTTTAATCACCGTATCTGTAAAGACTTGAAGAGATTTTGTTATAGACAAGATACGGAAAAGCTAACGTTACTGACCTTTATTGTCTGCTGCTATAAATCCCAAGATGTTTTCATGACGTAACATTACAGTTTGATAAATCTCTGCCTCACGGAACCATGAACGTTCTTCTCTAGAGGAGAATATCTTAACAGCAACTTCTTCTCCCCTCCACTTTCCTCTCCAAACTTCTCCAAATCGACCTTTGCCAATGCTTTCTTGTAACACAATAGTTCTCGCAATTGTTCTCTGAACAAGCAATGGTAAACCTGAAGATAAAAATAAACAGTACTCAACACAACAGTATTACACGTTTCAAACATCACAATAGGCACTAATGAGTGATCCAGAAAACTATCCCTTGAGGAACTTATCTCACTGGGGAGGTAGTTATTACATTTGCAATAAAATAACTAATTAAAAAAGGAAAATAAGATAATAAATATAATAAAAGAATCCAGAAACTCCTGCTAGAGAGTCAAGGTAGGCTTTGTAAAAGTAAGTTGAATTTTGACTATTCCTTAAGTACAGTGGTTAGGTAGGAAGAATGTGCAGCAAAGGTAAAAGGAAATGAATGACACATGTTTAGGGAACCAGCTTGGGTAATCAGAGAGAGGATATATGTGGCAAAGCAGTGAAAGAGAGGGTAAACTGTTACCAGAAGATGAAGAGTACTGTATATCAAGCTCAAAATAACCAATAAGAGCTTTAGGTAAAAGAGGGACCTTTAAAGATTTCTGAGGAGCTGGGAGTGAGATAATTTTAAAATCTTATTTTAGAAAGATGAGTCTGGTAACGGTTTCACTGATGGGGGGAAAAAGGATGTGAACACAGAAACACCGAAGTAAATTCTGGGTTTTTAATAAATCAGTAAAAATCACCACAGAAACTATTTCAAGGCAAGCAATTTACTTGCTAACAACTGGCTACATAGGCAACACTAGTATCTTACAGAACAATGCCAAATAACTTACCTTGGTAATGGAGCACTGTTTTTCCACTAACTGAACTTGGCTTTCTCCAAAATATGCGTTTTTAAGTATTGCCATACTTATTTCATTTAAAAGGATTTACTACCTACCTGCAACATTAAAGTGTCACCATATGTGAGACAATCACTCAATATCCTATCCCCCATCTGACAAGTGTCATTTTAAATTACACTGACACTAACAAAGAAAATCCAGTGTTCATTATGCTCCTCACTAGTATCTTCTTTATACCACCTATGTACACATAAATTTGTGTCATTTATAATTTACAGTCAAAGCTGCTTGGTAGATCAAATTAACCCAATGATAGTAAATGAAATTATCTGATCTCTTTGGTTCCCTATGTGAAATGCTTATAAATCCATATGTTAACTCTTCAAAGCAATCAGAAGCTCTTCTTCTCTCATCTTTAAGTTTCTTAAATGGGTTCCTTTACTCCTCTTGCTCTACCCTCCCCACCTCCTGCAAAGCAGTTAGCAGTCTAACTATAAATAACTGCTTGTGTTTATAAGGAGACTGCTAGTTAGATCTGTCAGAAATCCTTACTTGAATCAAGGAGCCCTTTTGTACTATGAATAATCAATTTTAATTATGTTTTTTGGTGTAGATACTAATTTATAACATTGTCTGAAAGCCTTGTAGAGGGCCACACCACAGACTTAAAAGTATACTTAAGTGTTAATTTCAGGAGATTAATTTGGAAATTACAAAGGCCAGCAACAAAAAAGAAAAAGGAATCACAAAGTCTGAAAACACCTGACAGGTTCAGGACTTATGTAGATGGTATGGTCAAGAAAGGCCAACAGGATGAGAAAAGTTTTTGTCTTCCCCTTTATTACTGGATTCTAGATGTAGAATTAAAATTAAAAAGCAAATCTTGATCCATTATATTATCTATGTTAGATTACTTCATATGAATAGTTGAGTATTTAAAAAAGGTAACAGTTGACCAGGCACAGTGACTCACAGCTGTAATCCCAGCACTCTGGGAGGCCGAGGCGGTACCTGACGTCAGGAGCTCGAGACCAGCCTGGCCAACACGGTGAAACCTGGTGTCTGCTAAATATTCAAAAGTTAACTAGGCGTGGTGGCACACACCTGTAATCCCAGCTACTTGGGAGGCTGAGGCAGGAGAATCACTTGAACCTGGGAGATGAAGGTTGCAGAGAGCTGAGCTCATGCCACTGCACTCCAGCCTGGGCAACAGAGAGAGACTCCTGTCTCAAAAAAAAAAAAGAGTAACCATTTTCTTCTAAAGACAAAACTGAACAAGACTAATTTACATCTCTATATTCTCTGCTCTACTCTTTTGCACCTTTAGAACTGTTGGAGAGAAAACTTCAAAAGGGAAACAGGGGCTGTGCAGCTTCACATGCAGTGAACAGGAAATAAGACCTGAACAACATGCATATATTACAAGCGCTCATAAGCTGCCCAAGCTATAGCAAACACTGGCCTAGAAGACTCATGTTCAAAAGCTGGCACATATGCACATGTGCACACTCACACACTTGAGGTACAGCTGCCAGAACCCAGTTCTTCATTGTATTCCCTGAAGTCCCCAAGTTAAAAGCACAGTCTTTAGAGGTAGAGATAGGGCCTTTCCTTAATTATGGTCACAGTAGTGAGTAATAAACACATGAATTCAGAAATGTGAAATGGTTATATTTTTTTCTCAATTAATCAAAGAACTAAAACAAAGTATTAAAAACACACATTTTACTTATTCACAGGCACTAGTCTCATGCCTAAGGTGGCATTAAGGATTTATAATGAATAGAAGGGAAACAGATGGCATTTTCTGCTATATTCAACAGAAGATGGCTTCTGCCTGGATAGGTTTGAAGGGAATTCAGTACACAATGAACTATGACAGGCAAAGGAGGCCTTAAACTAAGTTTTGTACAATGCAGTCAACTGATACTGTATGTGAGATTTTTCTTCCAAATATGTTTTCAATAAGAGTAACACTTGTCATTTGGACATAACTTTACAGTTTACCAAGTGCTTTCATGCAAACATTTTGTCTCACTTGAACTCACAACAATCCAATGATGAGCACAGAGCAGGATCCAACACTTTCATTTAAAGATGAAATAACTCAAGCATGAGACATTGGTTAACTGCCCAAAGCCAAAGAGCTAGCAAGCAATGCAGACAATTTTGCAGGGTAAGGCATAGAGGGAGAGAAGCTTTCAGACAACAGAGAGCTATGGTCCCTGATGGATCTAGAAATATATATAAAATGGAAACAATAATATCATTCTTTTTCATGTTTATATCTTAAATGGTAAATGAAAATATTCTTATTCAGTAATCAACTGCCCCCCACCCACCAATTCCTTTAATCCGGTGGGCTTATTCCACTGTGGCAAATGGCATGAGCTGCTGTGTCTTCCCAGAGTAGAAGTTTACCAACAAGAGAATAGGTCTGAGGAATTAATTCCAAATGATCTGTAGCTATCCTGATTTTCTGTGACTCTGTTCCTTGCTTATCACAGTTTTGGGCAGGATTACTTCTAGAATGAGCAAAATCTTCCTTGGAAAATCTGAACCAGGAATAAATGGGAAGTCCCAGGAAAGCTATTAAAATAGCCTCTCTCCATCATTCCTGCCCAAAGACACCTTCAGTACTAAGACTGCTCCATCTAAGTCCAAACTCTCAATGCCTTCCTTGCACAACTGTCTCAGGAGTCTCTAAGGTTGCCTTCTGGGACTTGGGCTCAAGTATATATCCTAGCAGTCAAGTACAGAGCTCTCTGATTGAATACATATGGTCAAATTCTACAGAAGAATAATTCAGGTAATATAATCAGTTTCTTCATTCTTAAATGAATGGATATGCATACATACCAATATACATTCATTTCCTTAAAATAATAGACATTTGTCATTACATGAGCTTTCTGCAACATTAGATGTGATTTTTGCTTCAGAATTATATTCTTAGCCAGTCACAACTTCTGCTTTAATATTCCTTTAATATCATTCGATTATAAAATTAGCAGGTTTTTTTTTTTTTTTTTTAGACGGAGACTCACGCTGTTGCCCAGGCTGGAGTGCAGTGGTGTGATCTTGGCTCACTGCAATCTCCGCCTCCCAGGTTCAAGTGATTCTCCTGCCTCAGTCTCCCGAGTAGCTGGGACTACAGGTGCATGCCACGACACCTGGCTAATTTTTTTGCATTTTTAGTAGAGATGGGGTTTCACCAAAATTAGTGAAATTTTCATTACATATGCTTTCCAAATTTTCACTTCATTCCTGAATTTAGCCCTTATTTGAAGATGATTCATACTTTTCAAAGGACGGTTTATCTCATTTAAAAGTCTTAACAAACCACTTGAAGTGTTTTTATCAACAGTATGGGTTCCATATTTTTGATGAGAAAACAGGAGCCGAAAGAGGAAACATGTTTTAACCAAGATTATATAGCCAATCAATGACAAAGCTTGCCTTGGAACCTAGATTCTATTTATTCTTAGTCAAGTATCAAATTCTAAAAACATAGGAGACAGGGGTGTTCCTTGATAGTCTTCCAAACCTCATGCAAGAAAATGTAAAAGATAGCCGCCCTTCAGTTTAAACATGAAGCACTGCTATGCCAAAATCTACCCTGGGATGACTGACAATTAGCTCTCCACAAATATTGACAAACAGACTGAAAAAGGCAAACCTCATTAGGGGCCAAAACTACATTAAATAAGAAGGTGGCTAGACATTTTTCTGAAGTGAGAAAATGACATAAGAGTTCATTAGTTTAATTTTTAAAAATGAGGCCTGTACTAAAGACAATTTCATATAATGTTTAAAAAGCAAATAACCTTCACAATTCAGAATACATTTGTCATGCCTGTTTTCAAATATAAACATCAAACTACTAAATAATCCTGAATAGAATGGGTTAGCTGCAGATGGTTTGAAGATCTTGATCTTCAGCTTCATCTGTATGAGAATAATTGTTTTTATCCTTTCTACCTCACAGTGATGAAAAGCAAATTTGATGATACAGGTGAGAATGCTTTGAAATCTATACTACTATGGAACTGACTTCTGACTCATTTTAACAGTTAAAGTAAGTTCCAATCTATTTTAAACTAGCCACAGGCATATATATAGCTAGCTTAAAGATTTTTATTGGGTTCAAACCTGTAATATTATTTATCTCACATTCTAACAAGTTGGCTTATTAAAAAAACAATAAAATAAATACCACTTAATTTTTAAAAGACTTCTTAGGAAAAAGGAGAAACAATTACATTACCTGAGCCAGAACCTGACGTTGTCATATCATAAATTAAGTCTTTCAATGTAGTACCCTCTGAAATAAAAGGGCGATCTAATGAAGGATCCTCTTCATTAGGCACTCGATGGTGAATGACTGTGCGGTTGTGGCAGATATAGACCATCAACATGAGTGAGACACAGACGAAGCACACCGGTCCAGCAATGACAGCTGCCAGTTCCACGGGACCAAGACCAGGTGATGGCTTCACTGAAAAAGGGCCTCGAGTGAAACAAACATCAACAACAACAAAAACACTGTAGGTGGCAACCCCCATTTTCCTAATCCTACACAATTCCTGTAGCTGGCCACTGCCACCACGTAGCCAAAGAGCCTCATTACAACAGCTTATAGTGCTCAAACCCAGAACAAGTGAATCAGTCAGTCTTCTCCCACTAGGCCTCCTTTTATGAACACCAGCTCTGTCAGTACCCACCTACTCTTCCTGTATTCTTCAGCCATCATCACAAGGTCAGCTGCCAGCAATATTATAGGACCTTCCCCATTTATCACATCAGGTTACTAATACCAATAACCTGTAACAATACCCATTAACATCTCTTTAATAATCATCTTGTTTTTTTAAAGTATGTTTAGCTTGTCTTCTTGTTCTAAGGCCAGTACATGCTCATGGCAGGGAAAATAAAACCCGAACAACAACAACAAAATCAAAACAAACAAAAAAACCAAAACACATATGTCTTCATCACTCCCCAACAACTCACATTTTAGCACATATCTCTACTAATTTTTTTTTTTTGAGATGGAGTTTCACTCTTGTTGCCCAGGCTAGAGTGCAGTGGTGCGATCTCAGCTCATTGCAATGTCCGTCTCCCAAGTTCAAGGGATTCTCTTGCCTAAGTAGCTGGGACTACAATCACGCACCACCACACCTGGCTAATTTTTGTATCTTGGTAGAGATGGGGTTTCACCATGTTTGTCAGGCTGGTCTCAAATTCCTGACCTCAAGTGATCCACCCACCTTGGCCTCCCAAAGTGCTGAGATACAGGTGTAAGCCACTGTGCCCAGCCCATTTCTCCATCAATTTTTTAAAAGGCAAAACATTTCCTTTGTTTTTTTAACAGAGTTTTCATATATATATATATATTTAGGTTATTTTAACCTCCTGGACTTTTAAGTCCAGATCATTTTCTTGTAACTTCTACTAATAATTAAGATTTTCTGGTTGCTTCGGAACATTACAATTATTTTGACATTCATCCTGAGCCTTACTGGTTTACTGCTTACCACCACTTCATTCATATCACATCTTTCCCATTCTCGAGATCTTTAGTAGATTAATCTCTTATCACACAGAATCCTATTTCTAGTAATTTCTCTCAGGAAGAGTCTATGGGTCCTCTGTACACTGAACTTAGTTGTGGCAAGAAGGCTGTTGCCTTTCTATATAAAAAATCTTGGCCTATTTCAAGAATTTTGGATAACAGCAAGAATGTTCCATTTGCCCTCTGATATTTAAGCAGAAAATGTGAACTTTTGTTTTTGCCTTTTATAGGTAACCAACATTTATGTGTGTTAAATGCTTACATAATTCTTTTATTCTTGAAATTGATAATTTTTATTATATGTGTTTGGATTAATATTTTTCACTAATTCTGTGTGGTATTCTGTCTTCTCTCTGGTCTCATGCCTTTTTCTAGAATTCTGATAATAAGCATATTAGATAGTCAAAATCTGTTCCCTATAACTCTTAATATGCTCACCAACTGTCTTTTCTCTGAATTGTAACACAATTTTTCTTAAGCTTGTCCCAAACTTGACTATAAAATTATAGCATCCAGTCTGTTGTTCGCTCTCAATAGTGCATTTTTAAAAACATTCATCAGTTGGACTTTTCCTCAGAAAGCAACCTTTAACAACTGTGAAATGTTCTCATTTTATAGTCAATAACTGAAAATAGACCTTAAACTGTTTGAAACTTCTTCCCTATCATGTGGTAAGCCTAGTTCTTAGGATGACATCTAATCTATGTAGTTCAGACTACTTCTTTTGAACTCCTAACTTTTCATTGGTAATTTTTTGCTGTTTGCCTATCCTAGAGCTGGAAATGAGAAGTGTATATATGTTCATTAGAAACAAGAAATGAAGTGACTTCTTCACAAGGTTTTGCAAATCTCTACTCAGATATTTTGAGCTCAAATGGGAAATTCTGGAATTATCCTTTTCTTTGCCACGTTATAACTCCAGATGCCTTCATCAAAGTCACAAAGATATTACAGTCCGACCAGCCCTTACCACAGGGAGCTGCATTATCATGCGCAACAGGTGGAGGGCTGCCTCCCTTCTGAAACCAGAAGGACTGGCCTTTTCCTTCTGTGCTACAGCAATGCTTCCTCTTTTAATCAGCACAAGGCCTAGACCAACTCTGAGTGGAAAGTGAGCAACTGCGTCTGCTCCTCTGAGAACTGAAGCCAGGTGCTTCCTAAAAGGGAACTGAGAGTTTGCCCCATACCCTAACTTTCCCCTAGTCCCTCATCTAAGTTATTGGGTAGATTTTTCAATGACTAACCTTTCTTATATGACTAGTCAATTCTTCACTAGTCTGGTATCATCTGTACTGTAAATTGCAGAAGTTCCTCAAAAATGTTGGCATGTGGGTGGCATTCTACCATTAATTCGACTAGCATTAATATAAGTTGCCTTCATTTTTACATTCCTTTGGGATCTGGGGAAAGTGGTAAGAGTGATACACATGTGCTCAGACTTTCATGTTAAACCAGAATCTTGAAACTAAGAAGTTTATGAAGGTTTCAAACTGTTGGTTCTGCCAGGAAATTTTATTTGTGTTATTTTAGAAGAGACGGGGTTTCTCCATGTTGGCCAGGCTGGTCTCGAGCTTCTGGCCTCAAGTCATCTGCCGAGCTCAGCCTCCCAAAGTGCTAGTGCTGGGATTACAGGCGTGAGCCACTGCACCCAGCCCTAGGAAACTTTAAATGTAAACTACAGGTGAAGGAACAAAAATCTAGAAATCATGTATAATTAATTTATGCATAAAGATCATAAAATAAGCTGAAATTACAAAATAAAAGCATCTAGACTGTTTAGTGCTGCTCTGAATTCCCACTCATTAAACTGCTGTTGATTGTTTTAAAAGACAGGAGTATTATATAAGGAAGAAGAAATCCACTCTGAGAAGAAAGTAGAGACAATCTGAAGATGTTGTTGTGGACTTTGTCAGAATTTGCTTTCATCTATCCTTTTAGGTATAACAGACCTCAGAGGAAGTCCACCTTGGAACCACCTTCTTAAACAACACATATCCAGAAGGCAGAATCTTGGCTACTCTTGTAAGTATATAACAATGGACAAGTCACTTCTTTCCTCTTCTTGCCTCCAAACTGAACAAGTTGGATTAGATAATTTCTATGATCCCTTCTAGTTCTAAAATCACAGAGTATTAAGAGTTTTTCTTGTAATATCTAAGCAAAAAATTTTATACAACTTACCAGTAGTTGGAAGTTCTATTTTATTGCAGTGGTCCTGATTGCAGCAATATGTTGTAGTCACAGACCCAGTTTTTGAAGAGGGTGCACATACAAATGGCCTATCTCGAGGAATTAAGTCAGTTTCAGCTATACACATGGTGTTGTGTATAACTTTGTCTGTGGTCTCTGTGACAGAGACAAAGCAGAGCCCATCTGTCACACAAGTAAAATTGTCTTTTGTACAGAGGTGGCAGAAACACTGTAATGCTGGAAAAGAGAAAGATTCTATTAGAAAAAAACTCAAAGTTAACAGTTTGAAATTATCGAATATTCACTCTAATAATACATTCTTGATCTTATCACAAAATTTATATGCACTGTTCAAAAAACAACTATTTGTTGCTCTTAGAAATTTCAAATTCTATTAAGAACCACATACATGTAGAAGCCTGAAATGTAGTAACACTTAGACCCAGGTTTCTTCCTAAAGTTTTTTGCTTCCAAGTACAGAAAAATTTTGTTACACGCAATTTCATCAAAGCAAGGCAAGCATTTGCCTTCCCATTAGAAACAAAGTACATTTAAATTTGTAAGGTTATACTTTTTTTTTAAGCCAGCCCCAAACTAAGCATTCACATACTCCTCCTTTGAGGGGCAATGTGTGAAAACACTACCATCCATTAACTGTAGGCTAATGCCATTTCAGTTGGTTTCTGGGTAATGGAGTAACAGAAACAGATTTGTACTGAGCCAGACACTCTCTATTGTCCTTGGTGCAAACCCTAAAAAAGTCATGTATATTCTGGCCAGAACTGGGGCATTCTCTTGTGAAGTCAGGCAGACTACACCAGTAAGAATATATAAATGCTCCAAGCACATAGGCAGCCTAACTACAGAAGCCACTGGTGGCAAAAAACTAGCTTCATACCCACTTATATCTACTTGATCTTTATGGCTTAACCCCAGGAGTGACCTCTTTAGGGAAGCCTTCTAAACATCACCAACACCTTCCCATACATCCAGATACACACATCTTCAACCATGCTCTCTGATGAAATGCAAAAACACACACTGCTTACCAGAATTGCTAGTTTTGTTTTTCTCTCTCCTATGAAACTGTAAACTCCATGAGGCCAGATACCTGTATTAATCATTTCTGTGTATCTGCCATCTAACACCATGCCTGATACACAGCAGCATCCAAAAAATACTTGTTGAATCACAATCATAGAATGGGTACATAATTTCACCATGGTCTCATGAAATTGCAAAGCAAAGACAGTCTTAAAACCAAACGTTCCAATTACTTGTTGGCAAGAGAAAAAAAAAAGGAGTCTCGGTATGTGGAATGGCCATCTATGAGGAGAGCAGGGAGGTCCACCGTAACTAGAAAAGGAGTGGCTAGGTAGACAGAGGCAGGACAGAGAAAGCTAACTTCCCGAACAGCTAACTTGCTGTACAAGAAAGGGTTAATTCAGCAGGACTGAGTTGCTCAGAGCCTGCACATTCCCAAGAAAGACCTATCTTTAAAACCAGCTTTGGCTGGCTTCTGGTAGAGGAGCTCTAAACTTTTGGAATATTCTCCCTGACAAGAATATTTCTATATGCCTGAGGCCTTGGGTCACATGGTACCAATTTTGCCAGATAGCTTATTCTAACAATGTTACAGTGAACACCTATTACTGCTGGGGGCCGGGTGGGGGATGTCTGAGGGGCTGAAGCCTGTCACTCAGGTGCTGCAAGCCTAAGTGACTGACCAACAATAAAAACTCTGGACACCAAGGCTCAAGTGAGCTTCCCTGGTTCACAACTTCGTGCATGTTGTCACATGTTTTTGAGACAATTAAGGCCATCTATGCTATTCTACTGGAATGGGACACCTGGAAACGTGTGCCTGATTTCTCCTAGACTTCACTCCGGGTGCCTTTTCCTTTTGCTGATGTTAATCTGTCTGGTTTTGCTGTAATAAACTATAACCACGACTATAACAGCTTTTCTGAGTCCTGTGAGTCCTTCTAGCAAATCAAGTCTGAGGGTGGCCCTGGAGACTCCCAACTCATGTGCTAAACTCAAATTCAGGAATGTCAGGTTCTCCTCAAGTAGTTGTTTCTTGGTTGTTGCTTAATTCACACACTTGTCTATTATCTTTACAGACCAGTAAAGTTTTACCTTAATCATTATTAAAAATGCTTTATTCATAAACAGGTCAGATATTTGCTTCTTAAGTATGAAAGAAACCGAAGAAAATTACGAGACACAATCATAATATATTTTAAAACTGCTAAAAGAGATAGTAATTATTCATGACAATGTGTGATGGTGATGGCTATCTGGGTATAATTTCCTAAGGAGGAATTCTGAACCAGGAATTCATGGACTGGCTTCAAAGGTACATGAATTCCATAAAACTATAAGCCTAATGTTATATGTATTCGCATTTTCACGGAAAAGCTTTCAAAATAACTCACAAAGGAGTCTGTGACCCACAAAGCATTAAACTATCATCATAGGAGGCTGTCATAATTCTCTCCTAAATCCTCTTTACTCATGATTAGTCATTCAACCCACGTTTTCTAAGCATTACTTTTATCAGTTCCTCTACCAAAAGCTTAGTATACAAAGATTAATTAACTAATGGTCACGGCCCTTGAAGAGCTTCAACAACAAGTGAAGCAGAACACTGTAATACAATGTGGCAACCACTATACATAAAAAATACTGCCATGAATACTCTCCCAGTTCTCAGATCACCAGGGCTCCCCTATGTTTATGATATAAGGGCTAAACACCTGGCCTAACAAGACTTGTAGTTTGGGGTTCCAATTTACTTCTCACATGACAAATGCTATCTAGGGCCACACACCTCTCACCATTATCATAATCATGTCTTTCATGACCTTGGTCTTTACATATACCACCTCTCTGTCTCGTTTAAACTTATCTTCTTATCTGACTCATCCTTTAAGACCCTATTCCAATAGGATCTTTTCCATGATGTGCTCTAAACCTCACCCTTACCTTCACAATAATTGGTAGCTCCTTTCAATATGTTCCTTTGCATACCTTTAGGACAGTGAAAATCAATCGATTTACAGTTTGCTGTTAAACTGTCTTTCATTGCCTTAGGAAGGGCCAAGCTTGTTTTGTTTTTCACATCTCTGCTGGTTCCTTAGATAGTGATCAGAAAAATATTTGCTAAAACAATGTTTCTGAAATATATTGGGAGATAAAAGGATGTATACGTTGTATACAAGTTTTAAACAAATATTTTCATTTCAAAGATAATACAAAAATAAGGATAAACATTAAAGATCATGAGTAGCCACTATCTAAACACTGGCACTAGGCTTTCACTGCTGCTTCTTCAGCTGTGTGAAGATCTCCTTCAGCCAAATGTCCTTGTGGCACACTACACACAGCGTAAGTTTCATGGTCATTCTAAAAGAAAGAGTAAAAAATAAAAGGAACTCAAATCATCAGAGCATATGGCAATACAGGCATGGCATGCATATTGAAAAGCCAATAGCCTAACAGCCAATATCATATGTGCACTTTATTATATGCAAGTGTTATATGGGTCCTATGTGTGTAGTAAAATCTGCAAATATTTGTTAGCAGTAAATGTAATTGTAGGAATGCAATGATGTTTTTCCATTCTCATTTCCAGCAATAACTGGTTTAGAAAATCATTTAATGAAGATTTCAATAATGTCATAATATTAACTATATCTTCCAATAAATAAAACAGCTGACATTTCTGTAAAACTTATAAGCCTATATTTGAGGAATGCTTGCTGGCAAGTGTTTTGATTAGGTACGATGTCTCATTCTGAACATACCCATAAAGCTTTGAAGTCATTAATACTCTCCTGCATAATATAACTGATGAGAAGAGGCACTGCTCACAGCTTTTATTATCACTGAAGTTAAAATACAGAAACAGATTTAAAATGGAATTAGACCTAAAGTTACTTTTTTCTACTGTGAAACCTAAACATCATCTGTCACACTGAATAACTGTATTCATTTGAATTTTGTTTTTTTGATAGTTGCCTTTGTATTTAATTTGCAGATTTGGTTTATAGTGGTGCATGAGCCAAGAACATAAGGGTTTTATATCTAGTTTCACGTCTACAGAATTTAAGTAACATTATGAAAAATACATATCAAAAATACATTCTGTACTTCTTTCAAGGGGGTCATTACATTACAGTAAACTTGAAAAAGTCAGTGCTAAAGGGTTTCTCTTAACTACTTTTTCAGTAAGAAGAAGAGGTCACTAGACAAATAAAAACATCTAGATAACACAAAGCTTAACTGGGCAAAGATTTCTCCCTCCAGGGAATTAAAAAATTCTATTTCTCCACTTGAAATCAGTCTTGTTTGACTACAGACTGCTGTTACATGATACGGCAAAATCGTTTAGGGAAAAACTAAAACGGGAATTTAAACTTTTCCATGAACATATGGGTTTTAATTGACATTTTCTTAACAATTTCAAATTTATTTTATTAATAGAGAGATTTGGCCCCTGGTTACCCACCCCTTTTATTCAACTAGGTTTTTAATTTTTAAATGCACATACAGGGCAAAATTTCAATCTAAAAAAGGGATACAATGACATCTCCTTCCCATTAGCCCAAAGCCCAAGTTCTCCTTAATCCACAACTCCAGCCCATCACTTTAACTCTTTCATTTGATTCTGCAATTATTTACTAAGCATCTCTATATGCCAGGTACAGTCTGGGCTATGAGGTTTAGGGATAAATAAGACAAGGTATTTGCACTTGAGTAGTTCACTAGGGTGGAAGAGAAAGGCATTAAACAGATAATTAAAATCCTGAGTCCTAAGGAGAATGATCAAAGTGTTTCTACTCTGCTGAGGTAGAAGAGATTATCAAGAAAAGCTTCGGCAGCATTCAAGTCAGAACTTGGAGAATATGTATAATTTGCTAGATAGATGAAGGTGAGAAAGCTTTCCTGACTGGGTTTTCTTTCTCAATGGCAGGATTTCATCCTTACAGGCTAGCATACCAAGTAAGATGATCAAATTTAAATTGTTCAAGAGGCTAACCACCATGTTTCATTTCATCAGGAAAACGAACATAATACCTTTCTGACCTATTTCATCACATGACTGAGCTAATCAAATGAGATACTGTACATTAACACATTTGGAAACTAACATTAATGATTATATAAACACACAGAATCATCCCATATGATAAATGGCATTGTTCCAATGTGATTTTTATTTGTAGGCCACCAAAGGTAAACTTCTTCCCAAAAGTAGTGACAAAATTCCGCTGTAGAATCCCAGACTAACAGAACCACATGAAACTTTGAATATCATCTAGGTAATTCAGTTCTGTCATTTTATTAATGAAGAAACCAAAACTTAAGAAAACTAAAATGATTAAAAAAAAAAAAAAAGAAAGAAAACCAAAATGATTTATACCAATATTCTATCCAGATTACAAGGTGGATGTGAATTCCCACGATATTATCATCACCACCCCACAAGTAAAATCTATGCAACTATTTGCTGTATCGCTATCCACATGCTAAGTAACCCTAAACTTTAGACTCCCAGGTGGACCTGATTTGGTTTAGACTTCTACAGTTGACTCCTCCACTTGATAACAAAAATAAGAACCAAATCCCCTGTTACATACCTTTCTACTACACTGTCCAACTTTGTTTCCATGCCCCAATCTCTAATAGTAGGCACAGTTTTCTTAGTTTTGAGATGCACACTTCTCTAAGCTTTACATTTCTAAAATCTGGATACAATTTACAATCAAAGTAAAAATACTGAAAGGTTAAGACATGATGAGTTGCCATAACCTATGTATGTGCAAACTTGGCTATACAAAGAAGGTATTACAAGTTGCATATCCCTCATGGAAAATGCTCAGGACCAAAAGTGTTTTGGATTTGGGATTTTTTTTCAGATTTTGGAATATCTGCATTGAGACATCTTGGGAATGGGACCAAGTCTAAATATAAAATTCACTCATGTTTCATATATGCTTTACATATATAGCCTGAAGGTAATTTAATATTTTAAATAATTTTGAGCATGAAACAAAGTTTGTGTTAAAGTACTTACGTGTAGAATTTTCCATTTGTGGCAGAATTTCGGATTAGGGTGTTTGACTTGTATTCGTTTCACCATTACTTTAATTATTTGCCTTGGTAGCTCCCTTGCAACTAGACTTTAACTTAGGTTGAACAAGGATTTCAGTATGATTCAGCACTAAAACGAAAAGCTACTATGTACACAGAAAATTATATCAGACCCACGCCAGGAAATACAATTACTAGCAGTGAAATTTCCAAACATTGCAGAATAAATCAGAATTTTCAAAGTTTGCAGATGTTAGTATGTGACATTTGGTACATCAAAGGAAGTGACATGAGGAAAAAGAGACAACAGGACCCTTCGGATTATTATCCACAGAATTATAGTATCAGGTTAACAGCTCTCAGGTTAACATCCCAAGCTGAGATCTTGGCTCTTGGTCCCAATATAAAGGATTTCCTTGGTTGCCTCATTTCAGTATGTCTCGAGGCCACACATGGAAGTACTATTACTTCTACCTAATGCCAGGGATACCCAGGGTTAATTCACAAGCCCATATGTCTTGCTAGAAAAGCTGAGAGATAGACAGCTGTGCATAGTACTAATATATGGAACAAACATTTCTATCACCCTTGTTAAAGAAATAAAAATTAGCATCAGAAACCTTGTCTTCCCGGGCTTAGTGTGTCATCATCTATACAACCTACCCATACTCTTTTTATGCATATGCTTGAAAACTCTTTCCTTTTTCAACCCTTGTTATTGGCCTTTTCCATTCTTCCATCATACATCTTCCTTCAATTCAGAAATCGACTGAAATCTCTCTTTGAAATTCACTAGCAATGCCCTTCTGGTCAAATTCAATAGTGTTTTCAAAATGTTTCAGGATATGAGACAGAATGCCACTCTTTATTAGTTTATAGGGCACTACACTTCCCAACATACTTTGCACTTGGCCTTTTACCTGTGCTCCAAGCTTGTATTTTAACTGCATGCAGGGAACACTCTGCTTGACTTACTTATCTATACAAAGTCAAGCTGAGTGTTTAAAATCCAGTCTTTTCACCACTCTGACTTTGCTGGTGATGACCCTTATTTTCCTCACCCTGCCCATTACAGCACAACTATACTTTTCTTTGCAGTGAGAGTATTTCCAAATATTACAAACATGTACCAACAGGCAAATAAATGGCATTGTTTTTTGATAAATTGGTTTTTGATAAAAGACCTAACATGCACAATGTCCTTTATTCAGTTTGCTTCTCCACAGCTGAAAGCAGATCACACCACTGCTGGCAAAGGTGAGGGCAAAAGTTAGAAGTTATTTAAAAAATCCTTTCAGGGCCTAGTGTCAGCCCTTTTTATCATCCAACCTATTCCTCTACCCCAGTTCTTCTGAGTAATCTGCCTTCCCTCTTTTCTCCATTCTCAACACCATGCCCCTTTTCCAAGGAGATGTGTCCTCTCTTCTTCCTCATCCACCTCTGAAGTAAAGCATACTATATAGAGTCTCCTCTTTCTTGTATTAAATATGTTACTTATTTCTGTATACGTGGCTAAAACCCTGACATCCAGCTCCCTCCAGCCTACTATCCTAGGTTTTGTTCCTCAAAATACTCAGTTATTTTCAATTCAACCCTCTTGGGCTACCCTGCAGCAGTAATATCAAAGTGAGCTTGTCAAAACAGATGACACCATATAATGTACACAAAATTTTCCTCTAGTCCAGGTAATATTTCACCCCTGAATTTAGGGCATCAGAATAAACATCTTTTTTCCAGATAAATTCCATTACTTCTGTCACTTTTTTTATTTTTTTGAGATAGAGTTTTGCTCTTGTTGTCCCAGCTGCAGTGCAATGGTGGAATCTCAGCTCACTGCAACCTCTACCTCCCAGGTTCAAACAATTCTCCTGCCTCAGCATCTGGAGTAGCTGGGATTACAGGTGCACGCCACCATGCCCAGCTAATTTTTTGTACTTTTAATAGAGACGGGGTTTCTCCATGTTGGTCAGGCTGGTCTCAAACTCCCGACCTCAGGTGATCCACCTGCCTCTGCCTCCCAAAGTGCTGGGATTACAGGCGTGAGCCACCGTACCCATCCTACTTCTGCTACTTTTAAAGAACTTAAGATGTTTCGTTTATCATTTAACCCACATCACATCTTAAAAGAACAAGGCACTCCCAAATTCACAAGCACTTGTTTTTCCACATTATCTTCATTTTCCAGTCTCCTAGTCTCTATGGAATTAGCCAATATAATGTTAACTGATATCAGAGAAAACACACTAAGAATAGGCTGCACAAATGGCAAGATGGGATTTAACAGGGCAACTAATACAAACGCTTTGATTTAGATTCGAAATAAATCACCCAAGTACAGCATAAAGATCTGCTTAGAGGATCTGAGGAGTTTAACAACACATTTTAAAAGAAGCAGAGCCTTTAAAAAGTATCTTTTAATCCATTAATTCTACTCAGAGTTTGGTCTAAGGACACAATAGGTGAGAGCAAAAATCTAAGCTCACAGATGCTCATTATAGTATTTTATGACTGAAAACAACCTATGTGAATGACAATACAATGACAGAATGAATCCCGATACAATCATAAATGGAAGACTATAGCCATTAAAACTGGCATTTTAGAAGCATGTTTAAGGACAAGGAAATGGTCCTACTACTAAACGGCAGGAAGTAAAGCTGTATAGTGTGATTACAATTACAGTCCTGTCAAGTGACCTTGTTTTTGTTCCACTTTAATGAGTTAAGGGGATATTTTAATATACAGAGCAGATGTGTGTACTTTACCTTACCCCAGGCCCTGAAAAGAGATGGAGAAACTTCTATGTCTAATGGTAAGTGCTAAAACAATAACCAAATTTCTTATTTCCTCTCCATCTAAGCATGCTTTTACACAGTTTCTTTTTAGATTTTAATTTGACTAGTGGGTAGGCATTACAAGGATATGGTAGTTAAGTTGATGGAACTGAGACAAAAAGACTTAAGTTCAAATCCTATCTTTGCTAGTCAGGCACTAAGTAATCCTGAGGAAATCACTTAACTTATTTGAACCTAAATTTCTTCAGCTTCCTAAATTTATAACATACTAACAGTACCATCTCAGAAGGTTTGAGAGTTAATGAGATAGCATAAATATAATACTCAGGACAGTGTCCAGTACATAATAAAATGCTCAAAAATTAGTTTATGCACTTTTTCAACAAGTATTTCTTTAGCCAGTCCCTGCTCTAGATGCTAGACAGAGAATCAGAGCTAATGTTGAGATGGCTCTAGGAGGCAATACTGACACAGAACACAATATAAACCACATGCACATAAAACAGCAAATGTTCATGGTATGCATCATCTCTTTCTCCTTCATAAATATTCATACAGTTTTTAACACTATGACTGAACAGACCTGGCTCAAGAACTTCACTGTAGCAGCATTAGGCACATACAGAAAGTATATTTTCAGTTCCAACCCAAATTAACAGTGTAGGGACATATCCAGTGTGTTTAGGTAATATCTCTAACTAATAAATAAGTTAATATCTAATTAGCCATAAAATATTCATGCTGGAAGGAATATAAACAGAAATATAAGATCCCATCCCCTTTACAGATGAAGAAACAGAAATGTCCTAACACTTACTTCAACATAATCTAGATTTATTCCAAAAGCACACAAAGGAAAGAAAGGATTACTTGATAATCCGGTGATTTCCACCCCTACTTCCCACAACCCCCAATGTAGGACAAAATGAAAAATTCAACCTTTCCCTTTGGAAAGCATGAGTGGCTGTAGGAGACACTGGCTTGGCTGCAATAAGGTGTAATGATGAACGTAAATCAAAGTGGCAATCATCCTGAGCTAGAGGAACGACGAACAAAACAGAACTGTGGTAGAGAAGGAACTGTGGTAAGAGAAGGAAGTGGTTACCACTCCCAGCTGCCACTGACTCAGGGCAGAGGAGAGCAATCCTGGCCAGCAAACAGCAAAAGATCTGTTGGAGCCATAGTTGAAGAAATGAACTGATGGTGCTGTGCAGTTAGTAATTTTAGAAGCAGAAAGCAGGGCCTGAACACCTTTTCTCAGAACAGAACAGTGTATGTAACCTGTGTAGGAAGAAAGAAAAAACCTTTAGGAGGACAGAGATAATTAGGATATCTCTGACCTCAAGTTCAAAATGTAGAGAACATGCCACTGATAAATGATGATGCAAAGTGCACGGATCAGAGGACACAGAAGGGAGATTTCTCCGAAAGACGACACCTAAACTAAGACTTAAGGAAAGCTAGTGAAGAAAGGAAAGTCATTTCAGGGAGAGGATACACAAAAACATCGTACAGAGAAGCCAAAGTAAAAGTTTGAGCCGGGCATGGTGGCACACGCCTGTAGTCCCAGGTACTTGGAAGGCTGAGGTAGGAGGATCACTTGAACCCCAGGAATTTGAGGCTGCAGTGGGCCGAGATCAGGCCACAGCACTCCAGCTTGGGCAACAGAGTGAGATCCTGTCTCAAAAAAAAAAAAAAAAAAAAAAAAGGAGTAAGGGAGTTTGGCAGTTTAGGTGATGTAAACAAAAACCAAAAAAACTGATAAAATTTAACAGCTGTTCATGATTTTTAAAAATCTTAGTAAACTGATAAAATTCAACAGCTCTTCATGATCTTTAAAAATCTTAGTAAACAGTAGAACTGTTTAAAAAAATTCTGAAATAATCAGATTAAGGAAAAGGCATAAAGCAGGCATTACACTTGTTGCATGACTGTCAGTTTCCCCCTGAAATCACAATAAGAAAAGGATATCTATCACTCCTCCTCAACCCTGTATTAGAGGTCTGAGTGTAATAAGTCAGAAATGAACAAAAGGAAGATAGACTGGAAAGAAACAGAACTATCATTACTTGCAGATGACAACTGTGTACATAGAAAATCCAAAAGTGACCTACACATCAACTATTAGAATCAATTAGTAAATCTAGCATGGTCACCAATATAAGGTTACTCACTATACAAAAATAAAATAAAACAATCATTCTTAAACCAGCAGCAAATAGAAAACATATTTTAAAAATCTAAAAACTAGGAATAAACCTAACAAAAGGTAAGACCTCTGCACGGAAAGCTTAAAAAATATTACTTATTGATAGAAATTACAAAGGAGATAAAATTTAAAATGTATTTATAAATGGAGAAAAATGACAAGTTCCTAACTGGAAGATTCAACACTGTAAAGAGGTCAATATTCCATAAAGTGATCTGTCGATTCAATAAAATCAAATCAGAATCCCCACAGGGTTTTTATTCAGTGGGAAGTGACAAGTTGATTCTAAAATTCATATGGAAAAACACATCCCAGGATAACCAAAGCAATCTTTGGAAAGCCTACATTACTAGATATTAAGACTCCTAATATTATAATAATTAAGACAGTATGGTAATGGCACAAGGACAAATAGGCAAACAGAACAGAGATTCCAGAGAAATAGACCCTCACATGTACACAACCTCTTGATTTATGATGAAGGTGATACTATTGTACACTGGAAGAAAGAAGGTATTAACAATAAATTGTTCTGAGTCAACTGGATATGTATATTTTAAAAATAATAAAGATCTCATACCATAATAACCAACTCTCGATGGACTATAAGGTAAAACAAACAACATTTGGGTCAGAAAGAGTAAGCAAACAGGATTCACAAGGCACTTAACCTTAAAGAAAAAAACTGAAGGCCAGGTACAGTGGCTGATGCCTGTAATCCCAGCACTTTGGGAGGCTGAGGCAGGTGGATCACCTGAGGTCAGGAGTTCAAGACCAGCCTGGCCAACATGGCAAAACCCCATCTCTACCAAAAAAAAAAAAAAAAAAAAATTAGTCAGACATGGTAGTGGGCACCTGTAATCCCAGCTACACAGAAGGCTGAGCCCAGAGAATTGTTTGAACCCAGGAAGGCGGAGGTTGCAGTGAGCCAAGATCATACCATTGCACTCCAGCCTGGGTGACAGAGTGAGACTCTGGCTCAAAAAAAAAGAAAAGAAAAGAAAAGAAATTGAACCTATACTACCGTAAATACATTAAAGTTTATCAGAGGCCGGGTGCGGTGGCTCAAGCCTGTAATCCCAGCACTTTGGGAGGCCGAGGCGGGTGGATCACGAGGTCAAGAGATCGAGACCATCCTGGTCAACATGGTGAAACCCCGTCTCTACTAAAAATACAAAAAAAAAAAAAATTAAAAAGAAGTTTATCAGAAAGATATCATTCTCTTTGGTCATTTTTCTATCCATGGTGCTCTTTTTAGATATTAATTTTTCTATTCATGTTGTCCTTCTAAAATATTTGTTTTTAAATAATAATGCATTTGCAAAGACTACAGATCAATTTTTTTTCCTTAACTTTTTTCTATATTCCTGTTACTTAGTTGCTCTTTCTCTAGCTTGATTTTCAAATTTCTTGCTCTCAAATTTTCCATTGGGTACCACTTTAGCAAAAGTCCCACTACTTTTGGCATGTAGAGCTTTGTCCATTTAGATGGTTTATAATTGTAACTCTAACTTCTACTTTAAGGGATCATTGAGAAGAGTAATCTTAAATTTTCAAGTGGACCTATTATTTTGGCTTTAAAAAACTCGACTTCTGTAAGGACATGGTGGCTCATGCCTGTAATCCTAGCACTTTGGGAAGCTGAGGCAGATGGACCCCTTGAGTTCATCTATTTGGAGTTTGAGACCAGCTGGGCAACATGGTGAAACCCCATCTCTACAGAAAAATACAAAAGATTAGCCAAGTGTGATGGTGGGTATCTGTAGTCCTAGCTACTTGTGTGGCTGAGGTATGTGGATCACTTAAGCCTCGGAGGCAGAGGTGAGCAGAGATCATGCCACTGCACTCCAACCTGTGTAAAAGAGAAAGACTCTGTCTCAAAAAGACAACAAAAAAAAATGTTGATTTCAAATTTGAGTGTTATGAACCTCCACATCATCGATTTCTTGGAAAACTCCAGAAGTATTCTGAAAGAATGCTATTTGTGATTACAAATTGGAATATGTTAAATTTTTAGGTTATATCTTATTTTCTTAATCTATAAACAATGATTTTATGAATTTCTTCTTGAATTTTTAATAGTTTTGGTCTTTTATATTTTAAAGCTCTTTTATTAGTTGCACAAAGGTTAATGACATGTCTTATGGAACAGTACATTTTATCAATGTAAAATACACCTTTCTTCCCTTTAATGAAGTTTATCTTCTCAGGTATTAATCTTACCATATCTACCTTTACATTGTCAGATTCACCTTTTCCTTTTCCGTTATTTTCAACTTTCTGCTGTCATTTTAAGTGACTCTTGGGAAAAAAAAAAAAGATAGATTTGCAGGCCCGTGTGTGTACTAATCCAATCTAAGAATTCATTTCAAACAGGGGAACTTAACCCCTCAGCATCCATGGACTTACAGCTACCAGGTAATTACCAACTTTTTTTTAGGTTTTATTTTTATCAAGGTTACATATGTACAGAGTTTATGTTGCCAAATAGTTCTACAAAGCTGGGCATGGTGCCTCACGCCTGTAATCCAAACACTTTGGGAAGTAAATGTGGGAGGATTGTTTAAGCCCAGGAGTTTGAGACCAGCCTGAACAAGATGACAAAACCTTGTCTCAACGAAAAATACCTACAAAAATTAGCTGGGTATGGTGGTGCATGCCTGTAGTCTCAGCCACTCAGGAGGATTGCTTAAGCCCAAAATATGGAGCCTTCAGTAAGCCACTGTACCACAACACTCCAGCCTGGGCAACAGAACAAGACCCTGACTCAAAAAAAAAAAAAAAAAAAAAGTTCTACAACACTGTTACCATAAAAAAGTAGCAGCTCCAACATTCAACTCTTTCCATTTCCTGTTCCAGAAGCAAACACATTCTACTCTAATGAATTCTCTTGGTATCAGCTTTATATTACTCCTATCCCTATGCAAAACAAAAACTTGCTGAACCTAGCCACAAGAGAGATGCACTGTTAGAAATTTTGGAGACTGGGTGAACTATATAAGCTTTAATGTTCTTGCCTCCCCTCATCTGAAATGTTCATTTCCTTTTGTCAAACAAAATGCCAAAGTAAGCAGTTAAATTCTGGTTGCAGTCTCCCAGAAGAACACAGCTGAATTAAACCAAGCAAGGACAGAAAAGCCAGCCAAAATGAAGGAGCTTTTGTATTTTTTCTATAATATTCATATTTTTATAATATTTCTAGCCATTAAATTTTTGGACTCCCTTGGGGTATAAAGATACACATCTAATGTTGACTGAACTCCTTTCAGGGGAATGTTTGCCCTTTGAGACTAAACTATGTGTATATGAAAACTTAAGCTTGAGATGTGCTGTAACCAAGCTAATAAGGTTTTCAGACCTCAAAATCTACATGCCAGGACTTGGCATTAGGAATATGGGTTTCCAATTGCTGGTAACATTGATACGAGCATCTTGTCTACTGAAGAAAGCCTCTAGTGGTGGGTTGGTAACTAAAAGATAAGGATCTGCCAGGCTCAGAGGCATAAGGGTCTTGATGTTATTTATCCCTTGGAAAACGGAAGACACAACACAGAAGACTATCTCACAGAATTATGAAATCTATCTACAAGTCAGTAATTACTAGGCTCTACGTAATAGTTCAGAATGGTTCACAAGTGATTATACCCATTTCTTCCGTGAGACTTTCCTTTTTCCCACTTAGAGAGATTACACTAAATCAGATGGAAGCACCCAATTGCTTAGGGCAACTACACTATTTCCTCAGGGACACACCATCTGTTTGCAATGCACAGCTAATTCTGAGCCTGCTGGTCATTGCAGAGTTTCCCTTAAGGCTTCTGTCTAATGCCTAAAATCCCTTAAAATTCCTCCCCCCTTTCCCTTCTCCCACGGTATGGCAAGAGCAGGCTGGATCCTACAAAACTTAAATGATAGTGAGATCTAGCTAAAATATTTATGGCCTTATTTTTTTTTTTTTAAGAATAAAGTGGAAGAAACAATTATGATCTTGGGGAGAAAGAGTATGAGAGCAGGAAGACTCAAGTTTACATATGCATCAAAATAAGAAGGAAGAAAACAAAAGGACAAAGCACCACGGAAAGGAGGAAAGCTAAATAAGGAAAAGGGAGGAAAAAGAGCATCTCTTCCTGGTAATCTACAATGCTGTTAATCTGCCAGTGCCTTCGTGGGACTGGCAATTAGAAATTGTCTTTTCTCATTGACAAACATGACCAGACTCTGGCCCCTGGTTTGTAATTTTTTTTCCCAAATGTAAAATGAGACAAAATAACTAAAACTACTCTAACTTGTTTATTTTGATAAAATAATTATATATAATTATTGTGGAAGGAATATACAATATACAATCTTGGTGTTTTTATTTAAATCTATTGCATATTGAAGAACAAAATTAAAATGTCAGTTTTTCAATTGGGGAAAGTACTCAAACCAACAACCATGTGCTGAACAAAGAGACCCAATTAGAGCACATTATAGTTTGATTTGGAAATGAATACATCAAGCAAAAAATAAAAACTCATACATACATCGTGTGCATGCGTACAAATGAAAGGCCAGTTACAGCTTTTCTATCTCTGTATTTCTCTTCAAGTTTTAACTCTATCCTCCATGTTCAGTGCTCCCAAATATCTACATTAGTCCTAGTTTCTCGCAGAAAAAGCCATTTGTTTTTGCGTATTCCCAGGGGACCTATTTGTAATTCAATGCATATTTAAGGATCTTTTAATGTAGAAATGTAACAGGATGCCTGAACAAAGTGTCCTAGAACTATAAATACATGCTATTATGCAATCAGTGAGGTTTACACCTAAGAAATCTAGATGGAATGGTTTTCCTGAAGCAAATGAACAAAAATAAAAAGGTTCAGTCTTGGTGGTGAGAACAAGAAAACACTGGAACCAACCTAAGTTGAAGTAGTAGCTCAGCGACTGCAGGAAAAAAAAAAAAAAAAAGTGAATCCATTCAAATCATGGAGAGTGATAAACCCCACAAATTGTTTACTTTATTTCCCAGTGGCCCACGTACAAAGACTTCTACAAAATGTTCTGCTCAAAAACAGAGAGAAGCTTGTTTTTCCCAATGAAATCAGAATGCTTCTAACCAAAGAATGGCTTCATGCTAATATATGTGTGTATCTTTTATATGAATATTGGGATTACTGTGAGACTAGTATAGAAGGGCCACAAAGTGTGGTCTCTCTTCAAGTTATCATTCCCAATATCCATTACTCAGAAATGAGGCAGTTCCTCAAACAAGAAACCCAAGCAAAGACACTCTGGATCTTGGTGACTTGGACCTGTTTGAAGGTAAATGTCTGGCTCTGCCTTTCACCAGCACTCAGATGAACTGTATCAAATGGAGACACACTAAATGATAAGGGCATGAGAAAAACGTCTTTGTAAGCCAGACTGAACAGTTTCATGTTGCTCTCTATTCATTATCCTCTAGCTTTTAGAAAAGCTTGATTTAAATGTCCTAGCCTTACATCAGCTGTTCTATTGGCACTAGGAAAAGACTAATGTGTTCAAACTTGGATCAGAGACTTAAAGTGGAGAAGAAAGATGGCAGTAGCAGCACTAAACTGAACCCTCAATGTATGTTAAAAGGGAAGTCTGGGAACAAGAATCAGATTATTGCCAGATCCAGCAATAACCCCTTACCACCTAGAGAGTCTCCCTGTATTACAATCTTGGCTTTGGGGCTCCACTTTATTAAGGAAGGTGGCAGCCTCCTCATGAATTCTGGATAGGCAATAAGATCTATGCAAATTATCAGGCTTACTTATTTGCCTTGGTTACTAGAAAACTCAGAGCTAAGTATTGTGTTGAACTTCTAAAGCTTTCCTCAGCTAAACTTATGGATAATTGTTCTCTTTCCCTTTTTGACTTACTGAGTCCTATCTTTTGTGGTCAGTAGTTTTGGTCTTAATGAATTTGTTATTATTTCAAGCTTCCAAAATCCTTTTTTGGAAAATGACCAGAATACATGCCAATCAATGAATAAACTAACTTTTCTCATACAATACAAGAGTTACATTTTACATTTCTCATACAAGAGTTACAATTACAAGAGATACTGCTCATCTTGAAGTCATGAATCCTAGGGATATTTAGACTATATTTGGCTAAAATCGGTAAGCAAGAAAGCTTGGACTATACCCAAAAGTACAGAATGCTAGAGGAGAAACAGAGCTTAGAGATAAACAGGTCCAACCTCCCACCTAAAGCAAGAAATTTCTTCTACAATTTCTCAGACAGAAGATTATCTAGCCTCTGACTGAATAGTTCCAGTGTGACAGGGAACTTACTATCTTACAATGTTCCATTTATGATAGCTATGGTAGACAGAAAGATCTTTCTTATATTGAGCTGAAATCTGCCTGTCAGTCTAACTAATTCTAGTTCTTCATTACACAGACATGTATCTCCTCTTCCAGAAGACAGTCTTTCACTTATTTAAATATATAATTCCCATTTATTGAACACCTACTGGTGTCAGGCTATGTACTAGGTACTTTATAAATACTACTGTACACTAGTTTCACAATGATCAGGTAAGTTAGGAACTATCCTCCTTTGAAAAGTGAGTCACAGATACACTGACTATAACTACAGCCAGTTATGTTGGGGCTTATATACAAAATTCCTATAAACAAAGAATTCATTAAATTTCTGACAACCCAGTCACATGAATTGAATCTGCCTTCAAACTGGAAGAAAAACTTAAGTTAGAACAATCCAAATAGAAAAATAAAGATGGTCTAGGGATACAACAACATCAGTGTCTGGTTCATTGAGAGAAACAGCAGGAAAAGCATTTAAAAGGAAAGCCATCAGGGAGCTCCAGGAGATAGTAAAGCCGACACCTGTAACATCAGCAACCATGACCTGAGGCCTAGGCCACAAGGAGGAAACGGAAGTTTCCTCTTTTATCTCAGCCAAGAACCTCAAGACTCCCAAGAGATCAAAGGTATGACAAGAAAGCAGCACCATCTGAAGGTTAATTTCAATACAAGCAGAAGATTGCAAGTAATCCTGAATATGTATGTCTTAAGAGAGGTGGGGGAAAAATAGAAAGCATGGACCTGCAGAACAGGAGAAGAGAGAGAGAGGGAGAGAGAGAGGGGGGGGGGGGGGGAGAGAGAGAGAGAGAGAGAGAATATGAGGTGAATGCTAGATGCTAGTAGCCACTTCTCTGCTTAAGGCTTTCTCCCATTTCCAACTAAGTTTCATTTTTTTTTAATCTTTGCTGACTACTGAGGAATTTTATTCGGCTACCTTCACCTCAAACTCAACATGCTTAAACTAGAATTCATCTCCCCTTAATCCTTCTGGTGCCAAATTACTCATTAAGTTAAAGGCATTATCCAGCTATAAAAAAGCTTGGAGTCATTCTTTTTTCCTCTCATGGAGTCACTCTTAATTTCTCTACTCCACCTCTTTACAGCTAAGACCTACTGCCACCCAAGTATTTACTGAGTGCCTAGGATGCACCAGGCACTTCCTATGCACTTGAGATACACTGGTGAACAAAATGAAGACATCCACTTTCACGGAGCTTAGACTGACAGGAAGGAGACAATAAACAGTAACTAAGTATATATGATAAGTAAATAAATACAGTATGTTAGAAGATAGTCTTACAGAGAATGAAAGCACTGTAGGATGAGGACAATATTTTAAAAGGTGGCAGGATAAACCTCACTGAGAGAAAGGTGACATCTGAGCAAAGCCTTGCAGGAGGTGAGGGAGGAGACCATGCAGGCATGTGAGGGGAGAGCACACTCTCAAGGGAACAGCCACACAAAGGCCCTACTACTAATTCCCCTGATTTCTTTGTTTGAAATGTCATACAGTCACCATTTCACCCCATTCCCAATGCCATCAATCCAACTCCAAAATCTCCCTAGGTAGCCACCCTGATCCATTCCCTCTGTGGTACAATTAGACAATCTTTTTCCACCTTAAAACCACCCACCTGATTTTCAAGGCCCATAATTCTCTGAGCCCACCCTTTCCACCATGAACTTCCATTTCTCCCCTCAAAAATCTTGAAACTTAGAATGTTCCTTCTCCATATGTGCCATCCTCAGTCAAGGAGTGCCTCCTTTCCATCACACATTCACTCAAATCCCTATTCTCCTGCAAAGCACAGAGATAAGTCCTACCTCCTCTGTAAAGCAGTCCCTGTGGTTGCTACTATTGAGTCTGTAGTCATCATACTTCCTCAGCATCAATTTTTTTTTTTAAATCAAGACTGCCTCTTTTCCTATAGTTCTCATCATGTTGATCACTACTAAATATTTAATAAGAATAAATGACCTATTTTCTCTGTAAAACTGAAGCTCTTTGTCAATTTAAACACTTATTAGCTTTGATAAACTGCTGCAACAGAATGATTTTTATACTAAAAAAAAAAATGCGGGCCGGGCGCGGTGGCTCAAGCCTGTAAACCCAGCACTTTGGGAGGCTGAGGCGGGTGGATCACGAGGTCAAGAGA